TATCCGCGCTGATGTCACTTTTCTGAAGATTGATGGCAATTCCGAGTTTTGCCCCAAGTTTCGCATTCCTCGGTTGATCTCCCCACAAGGCAACAGTTATCAGGGGAACACCGGCGACGATTACTTCCTAGGACTGTAATTTTTCAAGATTCCTAACAACTTTGTGATGAATCTCTCACCTGTAAGCTATTATAACCACCATGAGAAATGAGCGCTAGAGCTTTGGTATGTCTCAACAGATCGGCCTGTGGCAGCCAGCCTATTGTTTCTGTGTGCGACTTAATTCCGCAAGAGTTCAGAGCAATAGTGTCGTAGGCACCAACTTGTGAATAAGTTCCATACACGCTCCGCGACTAGATGCGAAGTCCTCCGAAGAAGTAGTGACCGCGGCCAAACCCCTCCCTACATCCTTCCACTGTTCTTGAATGTTCCCAAACCAAATTCCTTCCACTTTTTCCAGGTTTTCCAGGAAAGTTTTGTAAAGCGGGAGAGGAACCGCTAATATTGGGGAAAGTCAGCAACCGGAAAAGTCAGTCGCTGCTAAAGAACTGCCCACCAAAGCCAGCTACGTTCCTCGTCGACCAACTACAACTCTCTCCCCACTGACCAAGCACGACCCCAAAGATGCTGCACCACGGTAGGACGGTGGCAGTAGCACGATCCCCAAATCGCTCAACTAAAACGCCAGTATGAAAACGCCTGCGCAACTCAACATATATGCAAGCTGGTTGCGAATATCCAAATTCAGCCCATAATATAAATTTTTATTTCAGAGGCTGGACCAGAAAAAAAATCAGTGATAGAAACAAATATTTTAACATGATCGTTTCAGAAGAAAATTTGAAAACTGTGACAGGACGTTCTAAAATTGCTTATTATCACCCCTACTTCTTCCTTTTACTGCTCTGAGAAGTACCACTTCCACTGAAAACCGAAGAGCCACCAGATCTTTCTATTTCTTCTCCGGCTTCTTTGACTCTTTGTTCCCAGGTTTCGGCCAGACGCTTCTGGAAATGAAACGACTGATATATAGTGTAGTTCGCTGCGGACGGTTGGGCGTGTCAGTGCGGCTGCGTTTGGCGCGGTGCCAAACTCGTTCTCCACCAGTTGTTGAAGCGAGCAAGTGACAATGCTGTATCATATCGTTCGTATTACTCGTTTTCTACCACTTTTTGTCGCATGCGCGCTCAACAAAGGCAGAGAACGGCTTTGTTGCTGTGAACACTCATTCTGGCTGACACGCCCAACCGTCCGCAGCGAACTAAGTGTAGTGATAATGCGGCATATGGCATGCATCGCGTAAGTCCAAACACGCTCCACTTTATAGACGCCTACCACACCCATATGGCTTCTAGATCTTGTGGGGAAAGAAGGTAAAATACTCTTGCATGTGTGACGTGGTTTGCATGTGAGAGAGGGCTTGATGAGGGAAAGGCGGGGGAGGGAGCGCCGGGTGAAGTGGGGTTGCTTCAATCAGTGTGGTTCCCGCTTACCATGATTGCCACCCTGCAACTGCTGGCCGCCGTTGATCTTCAATCCGCGCTCCATGACACGTCCCATCAGTTCCCCGTGTTATGGACCACACTCAACTTCTATCAGGAGAAAACTGAAGGGATGGGGGAAGTGCTCACAACCTACTTTTGTTGATATCAGAGGTCGCAGTATGTCCACAGCGCAGAACCACTGATGTGGGGAGTGCTCTCGTTCAGCATTGTGTTGCTGTATGCCCCTCATTAGTGACATAATCAAAAGGAAACAAAGAGCTACAAGGGTGCAACTTTTGAACAGTCACCTGCACCTTGCATGTAAGTAGGCACAGGGAGTAGAACGGTGTATGTAGAAGAGCGGTGTCAGTAAACAACCCTCGTCGCTAGAATCTCCCTACAATTTGCTACGAACACGACCCATCTCAATCCTACCCTACCATCGTCGCTTGGGGGAAGCCCTCACCACTCAAGTACCGATCATTATCAGAAATAGTTGCATGGTGGGTCTGGACGCCGGCAACTAGGGAGTCGTGAAAAAAATTTTTCGCGTCTTGGAAAAAGTTTTCTCAGAAGCCCCGGTTACCATATACGGCTCCCCGACGAATTTTTCCTAGCTGCTGTACTCCGTGCAGACAACAGTCTGCGAGAAATCATACTTACCACTCACACATCTGCATTTCTTAATAGGAAGAACTAACCTTTCTATGTGCCTCTTTGAGACGATAGGCAACAGGCAGGATACAGGCACACACTGCCACCACCCCGACGCCTATAGCGACATATCCTAGGATGGGACTGAAATAGGACCAATTATGAAGCCATATGTAAGTCACATAAAACAATGAAGCACACGACATTGGCCAGCCTTTTCATCAGACTGTCAGGGCCACTTGAATGTGACGCTCTGCACAATGACTTGGTCAGTCTGCTTGGGAAATGTCCTCAACTGGTTGACTACAAAAGAAAGCAAGATTCCAATCCAATCCAAACAGACGTTGGTGGGGTTCCATCCTGAACCCTTTTCCGAGGGCATACATGCCGTATGCGGTAGCGCTTACCGCTACACCACCACCACTACCACCACCTCGACAGTTACGTGGAAGAGCTCAGACAAAGGCAGGTCTTCGTCGGGTCCTGGTCACTTAGGCTACTGGGCATGGCCAGCGTTGAAGATTTTTCACCAGTAACAAGCAGCCACCTGGATAGGCGTTGCTCAGAGGTCTAGTGTAGTA